GATCTCATAGATAATGTAGTTATATCAATATTCATTATTTGATTAAATCTGAAAGTTTATCTATTTTCTTCCCCTGGTGGCGCCAGTGATCTACCATGCCGCTTCCGTATTCAGCGGAAAGTGTTTCTGAATAATTGGTCGATAAATTACTTTAATTTAATGGATGCAAGCGAGTTGAGTTCAAGCCTCTGTTACTTTTCGCATCAACTGTGTTTTCCCAGAAAAACGTGTATGCCCCAAACAGATCTCTGGACACTATCCCCTAACTACTTTTCTGTCTTTTCGTACGAAAAGCTTTCTGCAAAGCAAATATTTATCAGTAAGTCAGTCGCCAAATTTCATTTTTGTATTTTCGCTTGTCTCTTTTGATTTGGGTGAGATCTATTGAAGCGTGTGTTGGTTTTATTGTGGAATATCTTGGATGATGATGCCACTGTTGATATTTTACTCCAAACTTAAGATCATATGCCTGATAACGTAGAATATTCAGTTTTGACGCAATAAATCTGGTGATTGACGAAGACTCTATCCCTACTTCAGGAAATCTGTTCCATATGCATTGTGGGGGCATGGATTTCAGAATCTTCCGTAGTTGAGAAACATACAAGTATGGACATTCAAGAAGGAAGCGGGAACTTTGGGACCCTGCGAGCTATGACTTCAAGGAATATGTCATCATCATCGTCTACATTCTTTTCAGCGAACCAGTCACCTTTCTTCTCTCCAAAATCGCCGTCAGTTCCACCATCAAAATCCACTGGACCCCACCTTACTACTGTTCCAGGGCAAAATCTGTAGGAAATGTCAGATATGCCTTCTCAGATGCTTCTACATCTACGGCCGGCTGTAACAACTCAAGTGATTTGCTGGAGCATGATCGTGTGTCTTCTTCAATTGGCATCTCTAGCAGCACAGTATCTGGTCACAACTATGCCTATGAAGATGGCTATTTTGGACAAAAAGAGAAGCGAATCAAGGGCGGGAGAAACCATAAAACATCCTCAACTCTGGGTTGTTCTATCTCACATTCCTCTTACAGACTCCGTAATTGTGATGTTTTTATTGGATTACACGGCAGAAAGCCCCCATTATTACGATTTGTCAGTTGGTTACGTGCTGAGTTAGAAGTTCAAGGCATAAGTTGCTTTGTAAGTGACAGGGCCCGATGCAGGAACTCTCGCAAGCATAGCATTGTTGAGAGGGCCATGGACGCTGCTTCCTTTGGTATAGTTATAATAACGAGGAAGTGTTTCAAGAACCCTTACACCATCGAAGAGCTGCAATTTTTTCTCTGGTAAGAAGAATCTAATCCCAATATACTTTGATTTGAGTCCAGCAGATTGTCTTGTGAGGGATATAATTGAGAAGAGAGGTGAGCCGTGGGAAAAACATGGAGGAGAGCTCTGGGTTTCATATGGAGGATTGGAACAGGAATGGAGAGATGCTGTTCATGGCCTCTCCCGTGTTGATGAATGGAAATTGGAAGCACATGATGGAAACTGGAGAGACTGCATATTGAGCGCTGTCATATCATTAGGAATGAGGTTAGGTAGGAGAAGTGTTGCAGAACACTTGACAAAATGGAGAGAGAAGGTGGAAAAAGAGGAGTTCCCTTTCACACGGAACGAGAATTTCATTGGAAGAAAGAAAGAACTTTCTCAGCTGGAGTTCATACTCTTTGGTGATGTTACTGGAGATTCAGAGAGAGACTACATTGAACTTAAAGCTAGACCCAAGAGGAAGAATTTCACGTTCGGATGGGGGAAGAGTAATTCTTTAGATGAAAGATACGGAGAAAGGCATATGAAAAATATCAGCAGGAAGGCAAAAGAACCAGTTGTTTGGAAAGAATCAGAAAAAGATATTGAAATGCAAAGTACTGAGTTTTCAATGAAGCACTACAGTTCAAGATTGAAGCGTGGTAGGAGGAAAAGAGGGCGGAAGATATTGTATGGGAAAGGGATTGCTTGTGTATCAGGGGATTCGGGAATTGGTAAAACAGAACTTGTTCTTGAGTTTGCTTACAGATATCACCAGAGATACAAGATGATTTTGTGGATAGGAGGTGAAAGCAGGTACATAAGGCAGAACTATCTCAACCTCAGGTCTATTTTAGAGGTTGATGTGGGAGTTGAGAATAGTTTAGAGAAAAGCAGGATAAAAAGCTTTGAAGAGCAGGAAGAGGCTGCTCTTTCTAAAGTCCGCAAACAGCTTATGAGAAATATTCCATATTTGGTGGTCATTGATAACTTGGAAAGTGAGAAGGATTGGTGGGATCATAGCCTTGTAATGGATCTTCTTCCTCGTTTTGGTGGAGAAACCCATGTAATTATAACAACACGCCTTCCTCGCATCATGACCTTGGAACCTCTGAAACTCTCTTACTTATCCGGGGTTGAAGCAATGTCTTTAATGCTAGGGAGTGGTAAGGACTACCCAGTTGCTGAGATGGATGCTCTGAGAACTATAGAGGAGAAAGTTGGCAGGTTGCCTTTGGCCCTTGCCATTGTCAGTGCAATTTTGTCTGAATTGCCTATAACCCCGAGTAGGCTATTAGAAACTATAAACAGAATGCCATTGAAGGACATATCATGGAGTGGTAAAGAAACAAGCTCGTTGAGGAACAACACTTTCCTTGTGCAACTCTTTGAGGTCTGTTTCTCAATATTTGATCATGCAGATGGCCCTCGCAGCTTAGCAACTAGAATGGTCCTAGCAAGTGGATGGTTTGCACCTAGTGCTATTCCAGTTTCCTTACTGGCACTCGCAGCCCATAAAATGCCAGAAAAGTGTCAGGGGACCTGCTTCTGGAGAAAATTTCTTCAGACCATGACGTGTGGATTGACATCCTCACACGCCAAGAAATCAGAATTGGAAGCATCTTCTCTGTTGTTGAGAATCAACATCGCAAGAAGTAGTACTAAGCAAGGTTGGATCCATTTCAATGGGCTCATCAGAGTTTATGCTCGGAAGAGAGGGATGACTGGAGCTGCACAAGCAATGGTTCAAACTGTTACTAGTGAAGGGTCAATATGTCCAAGTCCTGACCATTTATGGGCAGCATGTTTTCTGGTTTTCGGATTTGGTCATGATCCTGTGGTTGTTGAACTGAAAGTGTCAGAGCTATTATGTATGGTGAAAAAAGTGGTTCTTCCTCTAGCAATCCACACATTCATTACATTCTCTCGATGCAGTGCTGCTCTAGAGCTTCTGCGCTTGTGCACCAATTTGTTGGAAGCAGCAGACCAAGCGTTTGTGACCCCAGTTGACAAGTGGCTGGACAAGTCTCTATGCTGGAGGTCCATACAAACTAATGCTCAGTTGAATCCCTGTCTTTGGCAAGAGCTAGCTTTAAGTAGAGCCACTGTACTTGAGACTAGGGCCAAGTTAATGCTAAGAGGAGCACAATTTGACATAGGTGATGATTTGATCAGGAAGGCTGTTTTTATAAGGACTTCAATTTGTGGTGAAGATCATCCAGATACAATATCTGCTCGTGAGACTTTGAGCAAACTCTCCAGGCTTGTTGCAAATTCCCAGATTCGTGCTTCATCTTGAATTCTGTATCGTGGTAGGAAACTTCAGTTTAGAATCATACAGAAAAGATCTTGAATAAAACTTCTGACATATTTTTTTAGAGGAACTTTCTACAGCATATTTTAATAGTCTGAATGAGATGCCTTCCATATTTTTTGAGAAAAAGATTATTCTTTCACCGTCCATACAAATGCTGTAAATAGTCACTGACATTGATTTGTTAGTTTCCCACTGGCACTGTTGCTCTGTTAGTTCGAAGGTCCAAGGTTTTGTTTTTTAAATTAATGAGAAGCCTTACTTTGATGATAGATGTCACATACTATTTGTCGACAAATTGTATACTTCTGTTTGTTTCATGGCCCAACAAATTAAATAAAAAATAATAACAAAAAGCAAGACGTGGGAAAGTGATTATCCCATCAGAATTTAGAAACGGGAAGTATGGCCTTGACTTTTCCCCTCCCCCCCCCAAAAAAATAACGGATTTATATATTAATATAGTCCAATTTTATTGTTTTATGTTTGCAAAGTGGCTTAAATTTATTTTTTTTTTGTGGGTTATGCGTAAGGAGGTTAAATTTAACCTCTTATTCAGTTGAAAAAATATCAACGTGTCACTTGTGTGTATATTTTAGGAAAATTAGAACTGGCCAATCAGTTTATTTTGTGAGTTTTGATAACATGTATATCTAGGCAACGGGAGACAAGCAAAATCTAGTGATGGGGTTGGATACATGCCCTTCACGGGATAACAATAAAAATCTAAAACAATTCAAAGTCAAAGCACGAAATTGCCCCCACGCAGGATCGAACTACGGACCTTCAGTTTACAAGACTGACGCTCTACCACTGAGCTATAGGGGCTTTGTGACTTGTGGGCGTCGTCGACAAATAAATATTTAATCTGTCTCTCCGGGCTCATAATCGGTGCTCTTTGGCTCACCTGAGGGAGTCTCGCCCGTTCTTTACGGACAACTTTCAGTCTTTGATGCAAGGAATGGCAAAATGTGCTGAGTTGAGTTGTCTCCGAAAAAAACAGTTAGCTTCAATTGCAGTTTTGCAATCTGTATAGGCGTATGAAGCTTTCTTCTGTTTCACACAACACTTCTCATTCTCCATCTAATGTCAAACATCAACTTTCATATTTCTTCCGGAGTAGTCCTTTCCATTTTTCTTTATTTCACATCTTTTTTAACCTTTAATGGTCAATTGTAATCACCTTAACCCACACTTACTTCCTGTTGAAGGAACATCCGAACTAATAATCTCTTGTTCACCTCTTCAGCTGTACACTAATCACTACCAACTTGTCAATGCATTATGGGAATTTGAATACAAGTAGTGGCAATTTCCTTCTCATCGTCTTTTCTTTCTTGCCTTTATACAGATATAAGTCGCCACCAGCATCTTCTATCTTTCTCATGTTAATTTCCCTCCAAACGACTATAAATAGAAGAAGCATCTTAACTTTAAGGATTTTCATTGAATCAAACAAAGGGTAAACAGGGTGTTCACATAATTTCATCCTGGTGAGAGAACAAGCGCTCGGGTCTGAACATCTGCATTTACAAGTAAAGCTAAAAACTAGCTTGAGTCACAACAGCAAATGTCTTGGACATTCAAATCAGAAATTTATTGATGTGCCTAATTATCATCATGGAAAAGAAAGATGATAAGGTCCGCGTTGTATTGCAACGTTAAGACTCAAGGATCAGGTTGCCCTGCAATTCCCTCATCACTAGAGCCATAATCGTCTTCACTCAGCTCTCCATCACTAGACTTTTCGTCCTGGGTAGCACCAACATCTTCCGGCTTGGCATACTTTTCACAATATTCTGTAAATTTCCAGAATAGCTATTGGCATCCGGTGTCTCCAAAAGAAACATGTGGCAAGATGTACAAACAGAGAAACATATGTATGTACATTGTCACCACTGACTCCATTAAACCATGCGAAGAGTAGGTTAAGAGCTCAAGCAAACTAATTAGATACATCAAACTAGAAGCTACAAATTTGAATAACTGGCAAACAAGTGGCCAATGTTCTTGCGCTGCAGCCTGCAGGTATCTGTCATTCATTGTTTCTGGCGCTCACGTTACCCTCCAATTAAGTAATTAATGATAATTTTACTGTACTAAATTATTCAGGAATTTGTTATATCAATTTGCTATTGATGATAAAGTACAATGATATTTTGCGATCCATATAACTGACTTTTTTTTTTTTTTTTGGTGAGTGGATATAACCGATGGACAATAATTGTAGTTCTTATATATTAAATCAAACTGTTGCTTAGTACCTGGCCTCAAAAGATGTGAATTTTTATACAATTACTCCCTCCAGTCCTAAATGTAAGACTCATTTTATAGTATAAATTACACTTGAAAATGAGTCATACATTTAGGACCGAAGGAATATCTAATATCTAGTACTACTGGGTCAACTTCAAGTATTGTTAAATAGTTCACCAAATGTGATTTTTTCCAATTCACAATGTTCTAACCTTCAACCTCATTTAAAAGAAACCAAATCCCTTCCATTCAACCAAACCACCATTACTATAAGAATTGTAAGTTTTATGCCATCTACTTAACCATTAAGAGCATAGCTCAATCTAAACATGACTTGCGTTAATGAAAAACCAAACCCAGAACGAGTTTTGGTGTTCCACACTTCACATAACAAGCAAAACCCTTTAAATCGATTCAACCCACTTATAAAAGACATCCTGCTCTAAAAGCATGTGAAGCAACCCACTGATTGAGAACTCCTCAAGATTTTTCTGATATAGAAATGAAAAACGCACTATTATCACTCAGTCATTACTTGAAAAATGAATGCAATTACGATAAGAAACTTGAGGCTGGCACAGACTCTGAGAAATGAAGTTCTCCATTGATAATTCAAAAGGTGCAATTACAGACTCTGAGAACTAAAGACGATGAAGATGGTTGTTTGTCTGGACAACAACTTTCAGAGGGGAGGCAGGGTTAGTTTAGGCGTTTGACATATAACGCATACGTCAAACAGTCATCAACATTTAAGTTTTTTTCATTAAGGCTTTTCTTTGAAAAATTGATAGCGTTCAGATTTCAAAATGACACAAAAATCACCGCAATTCAGTTAGCCACTGGTTCACAGAAACTCTGTTCATGAGTTCATTTAGATTAACTAAGCATATAGGCAGATTGTTGCTTATATCAGGGAAACCAAAATGTTTACTACCTTTGACTTTTTGATCATATGCAGCACGATCACGCATCATCAATGCAGCAGCTTCACCATTCAACGGATCTGATGGGTTGGGGTACAGAAGAAGTTGGGGAAGAAAAACTTCAAATACATTAACAAGGTCTGGGGAGCAGGAAAAAAAAAAAAAAACATCGGTGAAATCCAGAGGTACTGTCACAAGTTAGCAAACAATAACTAATTAAGTGCAGTGAGTGAGTGTGTGTAGCAGTGTAGCTTACCAAACATGGGACTCCAGGTCTGATTAATAACATCTAAGCAAACTGAGCCAGACCTAAATGTTAGAAAGAAAACAATACTAGTGAGTTACTCCGTTAAGCAATATGTCCGTGCAAGAGAGATTCACAAGAGGCCATGAACAAAGACAGAAGAAAGAGGATAAGAATGAAGCTTTGGTAGGTTGAGCTCACATTTCATCAACATTAGGGTGGTATATTTTATTGACAAAACCAATGGATGGAGATTTATAAGGATAAGCATCGGGCAGCTCTACTCTAATCTTCCACACACCTTCATGATAAGGACCTGCACATCGATCCCAGAAAAACAAAAAATGAAAAAACAAGGAAGGAAAAATCACCATAACCTTTAAATTGACAAGGCCATAGATCCTGGTGAAACCAAACATCACTGGAGGAAATGGGTGAACATAAAACCTGCATCCATCTAAGTACAAGTTCAGCAAGTTAAATGGTGAGACACGTATCTCAGCTGATTCAAGCAGTCAAAATCAATGAACAACAGGAATATCAAAATAGAAAGGGAAAATGATGGGTTCTCATCAAGACCACAGGGTTGTATTCTGGTTCAGAGTTGATGAGCTCTTGTATGCTGATCCAAAGTATAGGTAGATGGAATGCCAGAAGAAGATTGAAAGAGAAAAAAGAAGTTTAAGTAAAATCACATTGAACTGATAGACTCTACACAACTGAAATACAAAAAGAAACAACGTTTGATCAGGAGAAGAAATATTTGAACTCAGAGAACACAAGGGGGAGCTCAACCGATGAAAAGATACCTATAAAAATAATCAGACGGAAATAAACAGAAATGTAAATCAGAGGGATGAAAAAATTTACTGTCTTTAGGCCCGTGAAAATGCACATAAAACTCCTGCATGCCATCATTGATCATCTCCACCTTGTAATCGCTCATCATCCTAATTCAATTCAATCCAACCAAGAAATTCAGAACAGAAACTTCAAATTAATTAAATGGAAGATTAAAAAAAAGAATAACAAGAAGCACAGTTCAGAAAGGTTACAGCTTCATCAAGTCCATCTCTCGACGTTTACTGGGAGAAGACATATTTTCTTTCTTACTTTTCTTGAGTATGGAGTATAGTCCGGGTGAGAGGCTGAGAACAAAAGATGGGAGGAGAAGATAAACGCTTCCTCCACAAACAAGAGGCCACCCCAAAGCGGTTCAGACATCAAAAGAGTGGAATTAGAACTCTCTCAGTTATATATTATAATATTAACCCAAGATAATTTTTTTCTGCACGTGAAGCTACTCGGTCGCACTCAGTAGAATGCGTAAACGGTGAAGTTCGCTGAGAGTTAACGAAAAGATCAAAACTTTCTTCACTTTCGGTGACTGAGGTTCCGTCCTGGAATATTTATGATCATTATTATTATAATTATAGTTTGAAAATAATAAAGAAAGAAATGATAATGTCAGATTTTTCAGACAACTTTCCGTCCATTATCTTCTGGACAAGATACATGATGGGCATCACTCTCCGAATCCCTGACGCCGCTAAGATTTTCCATTTTCTTTTTTTCAAGTTTTAAGACGTGAAGCAAAAATCATTTTCATCATTAATTTTATGTAGAAAGATAAAGACTTCGCGTTACTGAAATGGTTGGGGGGACTATAGAAATCTCTAACATGATTATATAATGATAATGGTACCGTATTAAAGGTTTCATTTTGTCCCCACAAGGTCAATTGCCCTAATAATGTTAAGCGACAATTAGTTTATGGAATGAAGTCAATTAAATGGTTTTCTATTAAAAGGAGCTTTTTAATGTTATACCGAATCTTTTTTCTTTTACAAGTGATTTTGTTCTGTAGTTTCCCCCACCCTCACAAAAAGAAAAAGATCAGTATGCAAACTGTAATTTATAAGTCAAAAAAGCTTCACTCATCAAATCTTCCCTTTAAAATATGCGACATGCTTCTATATCTATGAAAAGACCGATAAAACGGCAACAGTGAAACATAAATTTCATTCTTTTTGAATGGCGGTGCAGTAATATAGAACTTAGAGATTGTAAAATATCTAGAAAATGCTGATTCTATGTAAAAAGTAATTTTTTTATTTTATACAATTAGATACATGTATACAGATGGATACGCTAATGTCAAGCTCAAACTTGGGACGTCATCCAAGCGTGGCAGGTGATTTGCACCAAGATGACTTGGAGTTGACATGTTAAAAAAAAGTGGATGCAACATGATACAAGTGTTATGCTAAAATACAAGTATGGAAATTGACAGTGGCCAAAGCTTAAAGTTGAAGCAAAGAATATGTATTGGTTCTGCACTCCATGTTTTACTCCGCATTTAAAGGCTTGGCTCCATCAGCATAGATAATTACAGAACGCCATTAATCCTGATTCACAATTTTTATCAAGCAGGTATTCTCTTATCTATAAGACACTAAATATAAATATTTCTTTTAATGAATATCTTAACTCACAATTATTCATGTAGTTTAGCATTAAAAATATTGGTTTTACGCAAAATTGGCGTTGATTTTTTTAATTTTAAACAATATACATTCAAATATACCATCATTAGACTTGATTCTAAAATCTCATTCAAACATAACGAGTGATGTTGCTGCTAATGCAAGTTACCACTAGCGTCCAACAAGAAATATGAGTTACAGGTTAAAAATTTAAAACGCAATTAGCCCACACAAACAGAACCATAGTTCTTAGAGGAAGAATAACTGGGATATCATAAACTTGACGTGATGAATTTGCAAAATTGCGTGCCATATGCACTCTTACAAACTAAACTTGACAACCACCATTGTGGACTCTTGTCCCAAGGTTTTTCTATCTCATTCTATGTCTCAGGCCAAAGGGATGAAACAAGGTATTTTACAGAATTACAATACTGGTGATGCACCCTCAACGAAGTACTTGATTTGACTGCCATTCAACCATCAACATCGATAGCAGCTTCTGCAAGTTCTGCGTTTATGGGTAGTCAAGATTCGAGAACACGTGCACAGTTGCTTCCACTAGGAAGGGTGACTCCCACGCCAGTCTCAATCCGAATTTTACAGTGAGTTTGTACCAAAGTTTCCTTGGCGGTGAATGGCTTCCCCTCATGGAAGGAAAGGTTTTTACTTGAAATGTGGCCGTGGATCTTTTTTCCTCAAAATGATTCAAACCCACCAGTCAAATTCTTACTCTCCATTTTGATCACTCCAGTTCAGTGCATCGGTTGTTCTGTGAACACTCCAGAAGCTTGGAGCCTGGACCCTTTACAGCTTCCATCCCAAAGCCATCGGTAAAAGATCCAAATTCATTTTCGTCATCATCACTATCAATACTAGTTGGAGTCACACGATTCTGATAAGTCCTGCGTTGAATAAGAAATACATTGAAGTAATAGCTAACCAAGCTTCTCCATGCCTTCTTTGGAAAATACTTGAACGGCTTGCTTCTATCCTGGGAGGGCAGACTTGACATCATGATATCTTTGAATTTCTTTTCTTCTTCAGCAGTCCATTGAAGTGAAACTTCCTCCCCCATGCTATCAAATCCCCAGTGGTAAAATGCTGAACCCAAGTCAAGCTTCAGCTTCATCCTCTCCTCAGCAATATGAAATCTAACACATTCAACAGAACCTTGAACTAGACAGCCACAAGTCTCTGGTCTTCCTCTCCCAATAATACAGGTCTCAGTAACGGGGTGTGTTTCCCTATCCTTCAATGGCCATACTTGCGTGCCCAGCCATTTAGAATCGCTTTCAGAAACTACACCATTCCATTTTGGCACTTCAGCTTGAAAAAGAGGACCTATAGCTACTTGTTTTTCAGCAGCATCATCTGCGGCCGGGTTAGCTATTTCCTTTGCATTCAACAAACCATCTGCTGCCGTTGTTTTCTCTTGTGAAGCATTGTCTGCGTCAGTGGTGACTGAACATGGTAACTTGTTTTCAGTAGCTGAATGTGAATTGCAACAAGAGCATATTTGAGATTTAACTGAGGTAGGCAGCCTTTTGCTCCATCTCAGTTTAGCTGTAGAATGGTGACTGACAGCAGCATGATCCTCATACATGGCAGGATGCATCTTTTGCTTCTGCAAACAAAGAGAACTCTAAAAAGTTCGGAATTATAGCCTCTTTGTTCCAAACAACCCAAAAACATGTTTTCCACCTTGACTCCTTGAGTGAAAGTACAACCACTTTTCAATGTAATGACATCAAAGAATAGTGATTTTAATGATACCCTCTGGAATTTATTATCAAGGACATTACAGATTTAACATCCATACATAAATACCAAACAGGATGTTACCCAAAAAAAAAAACACCAAACAAAATGTTTTTTCTTTTATTAGGACTGAAAAACATAATACTTAAATTGGTTTCTGAATCTAAGTTTGCCCCCACCCAGCACATTAAAGGATGCTTGGAGAATTTATGGGGCATGCTTAGCATAGAGTCTGATTTGAGCCAGGACTGTTCACGGCTTACATATGATGTAACTTCCTATAAATTTTATATTATACGTAAATATACATATTACAAACAAAAATATGTATCATGTGTCACGTGGACTTATAAACAATAGCATTCCTTATAATGAACGAGATAAAATGACAAGAGAACCATTTCATTTAACATATATGTGGCAATCTAGAGTAACCTGGAGCCACCTACAGGCTTAGCTATGGTAAGGTCATATGAACATTATGCAATGCCATATGGATCAGATAAAGACTGAGTACATAAACTTCAGCAAGAGAACAAACTACTATGTAAATTAAAATCTGTGCAAGTTAAAAACAACGTGGCTGCAGCTAAAGCAAACATCTAATCAGTACATGATAATTTGTAAAAGAGCTCTGCCATAAATAAAAGGGAAAAAAGGAAAGAAGTATAAATCCATCCAAATATTAAGTAATTATGGGCCGCTTGGTATGGAGGTGGTTACATGTGCAAAGGAAATGGAATGAAAAATGGAAACCTTCCTGATACGCAGTTCTCATGGAAGCACAAGTTTTCAGTTACCTATAATGACTAGCTAGAGATACAAGTTTCAAATTACAAGCTTTACATTTAGGATTTGAGAAAATAGAATAGCGGCTTGAGGGCTCTGTAAATTCAGTGAGGGAAGGAAATTATTTGACCAAAGCACAACAAATAGGTAGTTGAGTTGTCCTGTGGCTCCTGTCAAAGCAGCTATTTCAATTTGGATGACCAACAGGGTATCCTCGTGACAATATGACCAAAAATAATATCACAAGCATAATGAGGGGAAAAACTTCAAATCATCAAGAACATAATAAATTCAATTTCATACAAAATCATGGCAGAGATTATAGAATAGTCTTAAAAATTACCCAAACATCCTTATTTAAGATCACAGGTTCTCTTTTGGTAATTAACTATCAGACTAATATTTTTAATTTTAGCACTATCTTATGAAACAAGCATAATGAGACTTCAAATGATGACAAACATGAGAAATGCAATTTCATATGAAACAATGGCGGAGATTATAGAATAGTCTTAACAATTGCCAAACAAGCTTATTTAAAATCACAAGCTCTATTCTAGGTAATTAACTATCAGACTAATAGTTTTAATTTTAGCCAAATTTTTCGCTATCTTGTAGAAGCATAATTTCCAACATTTAAAATTTACCCTCTCATCCTCCAGTCCAACAATAGATGCGAATAAGCATGGCTATGCCAACAGTCAACTTCACAGACAGCCATATTTGCATTTACAAATCTCAGTTCACATGCACGTAACAAAAACAATGAGATTACAGCGATTGGGTTGGATATAATATAAGCACAACTAATTACATGTTTGGAGCCATGTGTGGCACAAGACACATTGCGCTTACCTAAACCTTATATGCTCGAAATTTCCAGTCAAAACTTCATCGCACGGATATTTCTTCTATTATAGTTAATTAACATAAAAAATACAATCTATTTAGAGTGTTCAAGTTAGAGGTCCAGTTGATTAGAAGCAGCTAAATAAGTGGGTTTTATATTTAAAAGCCACTGTACTAAGTGAAGAAAGTAAACAGTGAATGCCAGTTGTCTAAAGCATGACGTGGAAAACAACAAAATGCTGTTCTGATGACTTCAATTTGCTAATAAGCTTGATGCATTTATCTTTGCTCACAATTAATATAGGAAAGAAACTGATGAATTAAGATTGTTTACCTAGGCAGAGATAATGATTTGTTTTTAATTTAGAATTAACCCTGTCCTTCTGTAAATTAATTCATTTTTTACAAGGAGACGTAATGAACCTAGACATAACATGCAGAAGAAGCTCCTGTCAAATGTGAATTCAAGTTACACGAACAAACTTATGCAAAGTTTTCTGTATAAAACTGATATATGAATTGAAGTTATACCTGCAAGGAAGACTGCCTGCAGCTTAGTTTGTCACAAGACCTCAGTTGTAGTGCCTCTCTTGCTCTAAGCATCTGAACCCAAAAATCTTGTCCTTTATAATCCTTCCACTTAGATGCCTCTGGTAGCAGTTCAATTGAAGGATCAAGAGGATGCTTTGCAGTTTTTCTGATCCAGCTCAGCATTGAAAATAATGCGTCTCGTTTGCGCTTGCGAGAATTAAATTCCTTAACAGGAGCTTCTGAGTTCAAGGTAACAGGATCGTTCTCAACACTTCTACAAAATTTCAAGTCGGCATCACCAGGCGTACTGTGGAGATTCTCGCATATAGGAGGTTGATTTTTGTTGTCCAACAAATTCGTTTCACTCTGGTGATTAATCAAGTCAATGTTGCTTCTCATTTTACTTGATTGCAGATGAAAGGATACATCATCCTTCAACTTGGCGTTGCCACATAATAAATCTCTAAACTCATTTACTAGCTCTGGCGGCTCAAACTTAAAATCCATATTACACCCACAATTTCCACTTTTGAAATTATTTCCTCCACGAGTTTTGCTGAGCCATCTTTCAAACTCATTCAAATACTTGTTATATACTAATTTCACCGAAGCCAAAAGTTTAGGATTCAAACCCAATTCCTTAGTCACAAAACCCCACAATCCTTTCTCCGACACCGAAGCATACCCACCTCTTTCCTTCACAGACAAGAACAGTTTGTATAAATCCAACGATTGACCATCACCAAGCATTACAGGTACAGGACGAATAGTGCCTCCAGAATTCTTCTCCTTTATACAAATTGATAGAAGTTGATGAAACAAGCACTCTAGTTTAACTTCAACATCAAGGTGATCTGTAACAACCTCAGCAACGTTCAGGCAACAGTCATTACCCTGATGTCCTCCAACAGTTTCAAGACAATCTTCGGAAGATCCGTTTGTGAAACCTGACCATCGTGCCATATGCTTTGGTTTCCTACTTCTTTGTTTGTCAACCCACGGCCGGGATCGAGAAAGCTTCTATTTTTCCATTCCTCAAAATTTAATGAACCAAGTTAGAACTAACAGACTGAAAGGTGGCCAAGAGAGAACAATAACAGGCACCCGCAAGGGGGTGAAGTGGATGCACAGGTGGCTAACTAGTTCGCCGATTTACCTCGTCCCAGATCATGAACGAAGGGGTGCGGCTCAGACAGCGAACTTGGAGCCCAAGTGCATGGTTTATTGATCAGGAAACGGGGGCCCAATCACGAGGGAGATGCCAAGAATGCAATGAAAATGCAGAGAAGGAGAAAAAGGACGAAAAGGGAAAACAAGAAGAAAGCTTCGACAAGTAGCAGATTAACAGAGAATTGTCCGAACAAAACCCCAAATATAGGACCTTTCCCCCCTCGCTGGCCTTGGGGACTCCTCTTGCCCCTGGCTTGTGATGCGCAAGAGGCATTCATTGCCAAGGTCGGTAAATAAACCAATGTCCATATGAATTTTTTTTTTATAAAAAAATACCTTTAATTCGTTAACTTTAGATAAATTTTCAGTTTAGTCTCTTAAGTTAAAAAATAAAATATTTTTAGTTTTTTAATCTTAAACCTTATATAAAATTAAATAATTAGATATATATTACCTTTTTTTTTACATCACTATTTACGTGAAAACAGTGGAAAATATGAGCGTGCCTTTTCTTTTAATCAGAATATATATATGCGTCTGGTTAAAAATAAAATACACACACACGCACACATGTATATGACTGTGTATGAGGACGCATGAAATGTATCAAAAAAAATGAGGACGCATGAAGAATGTAGTTGGCATTGGATTTTTCGTATTTTTATTGAAATTACTTTTTATCTTTATCACTTATTTTTAGCCCCTCACTTCTAATTATAGGATTTTTTTTTATCTAAAAAATGTTAAGCAAGTTTTTTTTAAATAATGTGTTAATAATATATGATGTTGGCAAAAATAAAAGAATAATCCTCCGGTCCTTAATATAAGACCCAATTGTTGAATTGACTTTGGTCCTAAATATAAAACACATTTCTATATTTATCAATTTTCTCTAAATTACCCCTATAGATACTCCCTCAACCATAATCAAGTAGGAGAGGAAGAGTGGGTATTAAGAAAGATGATTATGGTATTTTAGACAAACGTGTCACATTTCTTATAATTAACTAACTTACCTAACTTCCTTAATCTAATTAAATTAATTAAATGGATCTTATATTGAGGATTGAATGAGTAATATATGATTTTTTTAAAAAAAAATCTTCTCATTTATTAGACTATTGATCGGTATTCACTGTTCGCTTAATTTTTTAAAAAAGAGCGCATTAAATAGAAATACTTTTAAAAAATAATTAGCGTGATAAATAAAATTATATATAATCTTGCACTAAGAATCAAACCGAACTCTTCGGTAACATTGTAGGAGTATATTTTTGTTCTATCAATTTTCTAATAACTATTAATTTTGACTTCCATAAACTGTATGAAACTATAAATATCTTCAAATCAAAAAAAGAACGTCCAACAGACAGTAGTACTAGTTCAATTTTTGTGAACAAAACCTATTTTGAAGAGTTATTAGTACTACTAATTAGACCCAGTAATATTCAAGTATAACCCTAGATATGTTTAAAAGAAAAAAGATAGAGAGAACATGGGTGAAACAGCAAGGTAATTTGATGGTGCTAGAGAATCTAAATTTGTATGTTAGTTCTTGGTAAAAATATCTATGATTGAGTCTGTTATTTTTTAGTCCAAAATTCTAAAAAATATTTGAAAAAAAAAATAGAGAGAACAGTGAAACAGCATTTGATGAAACATGGTCTGAGAATTCTAAACCTAGAAATACAAGAATTAGTATAAAATGAACAAACCATCTAAAGTCTTTTTTTTTAGTCCAAAATTCTAAAAAATATTTGAACAAAATTTAAAATATAGGACTAACGCACCTTTGTGAAACAATTAGTAAAGTGAGTTTTTATAACATTCTAAATTTTAAACCTAGAAATACAAAAATTAGCATAAAATGAACAGACCAGTAAACCTTTTTTGGCAAAAGTTTTAGAAGTTTTCCTAAAAGGACAAAGATTCCTAATGACTAAATTATAAAGCGAAAGTTTTTTGAGATTGAGAAAAAAAGAAGTTAGAGACTCAGATGAAGTCTCAGACCCATGAATAAGAAACAGAGAGGAATGTAGGTTTTTTTTTTTTGAAGGAATAGGATGTAGGTTAAAGGTTATTTAGATGCGTGAATTATGAAATTAAGCCAAACTAGGAGCAAAATCATAATTTTGTAAGTTTTGGGTTGGAAAGGACAAATGAAAATTATGTCTGAAAATTTCACAAAAATTCCTAAAAAATGAAAAATAGCATGCCAAGGCCTGTATATGAAGAAAAATGATAAAGTACCCTTGAATTAACTTTAAAAGAATTTTAAATATTATAACTCATTTTGAGGTATAAAGCTAGATTTAATTGTTTGAACCATACGAGGCTTCAGAAAAGCAAGTAAAAATAGGAATTCATGAGTTAAGAGGCTGTAAAAATTATAAAATTAATTTCGTCCCCTAGAAGGCTAGCAGAATGACTTTGAGAATATTTAAAACTCAGTTATGCCATTTAAGGGCATTTTACGAAAAATTAAAAAAAAAACCTACCTGATAAAACTCATAGATTTTCTCCAAAATAAAATGAAGTTTTGGTGTAGTTGGATGAATTTTTAAGCTCTGAATTGAATAAAATGCTCCAGTTAAATATTAAATAATTTGTGTCCCTTAAATAGAAGACAAAATCAAAGAAAATATCTCAAGGCAGTCATGAGGTGCTGAGTCAGCATGCTAAGTCGCCAAATGCAATTATGATGCCTTTGAGTCAGCATGCTGAGTCATCAAAAGATATTTATAGACAGTAGAAAAATCAGAACACAATACGGATACGTTTTAGACAGGACTGTCTACCTAATACAGTAAAATTTCTCTCTGCATGACTTAGTGAGGCTATATAATCTGTCAATGGAGCCAACTATTTTCTTCTATACTCCCTTTGAGATGATGTCATATGTAGACTTATTTAAAATGAGAAAAAAGTGTCAGAACGTGTCCCTATAGTCTCGGGTAAGTCAGGACCCGAAAAAGTACTTGATATGGTACAGAATGACAAGATAGGTAGAGAATATCTAGGGACTGCATTTTGCTCAAATTTTCTATTAATTTCTTCTATATTTTAATATCAAAATGATGAAAGGACATGTAAGGAATTATGTATACGGTTAGATGGGAGGAAAAGATATTATATGTACAATTGGATGAAAGACGAGATATAAAAAAAGACACAAGGCATGATGATGTAAGCAGATGATGTAAGCATGATGTCATGAGAGCACATGTTATCACAAGACAGAGCAAAATGGATGGCCAAAATTAGATCTTACAATTTCTTGATCAATAGCTAGGATTTCATGTTGGTGTTTTTAAATTCCCCCTCACCTCCCATTTGGCCAAGTTTCAACCAACTTGAAGGAAAAAGAAAGAGAGGCTGTGAAGAAAAGGAAGAAGAAAGAAGAGAGAACTCCAAATCCCATACAAAATCAGGCTCCAAAACAAGATATGTTTATGATTATTGATGTATTTTCTATTATCCTTGTTGTTATTGAGTATGGTTATAGGTTTTAATAGTTTTTTGAAGCTTGAAACCCTAAAAAAAAATATGCTGCATGAAATTCTTAAGTTAAGAGGAAGATGAAATTAATGTTAGAATAATATTTACAATTTTGAAAGAACAAAAATCAAGCGGTTTTATATTAAAATTGATTAAATTTTATGATTGAGCAACTTAAAGGAACTGTTCGACCAAACTGGGTTCTATCGCTTAGGTTCTGGTAAAGATTTTGACAATAATTTAAATGAAACACTAGTTCAAGCAAAGCCTGGCAAGAGAAAATCCCCCAGTAATGTGTTACTAGGATTGGTTCAACTATGGTTATGAGTTTGAAGTGATTTTTCCAAGGAAAAGGCACAGAGAAGAAGTAAGAAATGATAAAGAGTAACCCAACTAATTAATTGTAAATTTCAATCTACGAGCTTGTTAATCACTTAAATCATAATGCTTCCGAATACACACTATAAGGGGTTTAAAGAAGGATGTTTATTTTGCTCAATTTTACTCCTGATTCGGCTTAATTCCATAATTCACCTCATTGAGACCTCTAACATAACATTTGGCTTACATTCATTTTCATTTCTCATTCATTGGCCTCGAGACTTCATCCAAATCTCTAACTTCATCTTTTCTCAGTCCCAGAAAACTTTCACTTTAAAATTTAGTCCCTAAAAATCCTTATGTCCCTTCACAAAACCTCTAAAGCTTCTGCCAATAGGAGTCTCATAACCTGCTCATTTCCACCTAATTCTTGTATTTCTAAATCTAAAATTCAGGATGTTATAGTTTTTCCAAATCTAAATTTATTTCAATTCACCCTGACAATAAAATAGTTATGGCGAGGTAAGTATGGTTTTCAATCTTTAAAGAAATAGAAAAATTATCATTCTTCATCCTGAACTCTAGGAGGCTCGAAAGAGCCTTCCAACACTTCTAAATAAGAACTGCACTTATTACTTTGACCGTTGACTTCGGGGAACCAGCTTAATAGCCCATGGGCTTACTGTTCCCTATATAATGTCAAAATATTATTTATTTTTAACTGATATAACATCAATATAAAACAAAATCATCTAACGTCACCCATTGAGGTGATTCTTCTTCTTCTAACACCACATATTCTTCTTATTCTAAATGCAAAACCCATTTTGAAATGTGAATTTACATTAAAGAATAGATTTTATATTTAAACCGAATGAGTACTTATATTAAATATTTATTTGCCGACCATTTATTTATATTAAATAATAGTAATTAGAAGCGAGAGACAATTGTCAATGATGATTATCTCAATAAAAAGAAGCTTTCACAAGCGACATTATTTCGCTGAGACCCAACCGCTCGTTTGTTTTTACTTTTCACTCGATCAATTCACTTTAACTGGCACCCAAAAAAAAAAAAAAGCCATCATCTTGATTCATGGGCATGCTTGATATAAATATTATATAAATATTGTTTTGCCGACCATTTATTTATATTAAATAATAGTAATTAGAAGCGAGAGACAAATTGTCAATGATGATTATCTCAATAAAAGAAGCTTTCACAAGCGACATTTATTTCGCTGGGACCCAACCGCTCGTTTGTTTTTACTTTTCACTCGATCAATTCACTTTAACTGGCACCCAAAAAAAAAAAAAAGCCATCATCTTGATTCATGGGCATGCTTGATATAAAATATTATAGGAATAAAAATAAAAGAAGGAAAAAAAATAAAGAAGGAAATAGAAATAGACAAGCTTTTTTTCAATCTTTTCCCAAGTTCCCGTTTATACTTACCAAAGGCGTGAGCTCTTCTTAATTCTTGGTGATTATCTCCAAAGAAGGATCGCGAATCCATCGATATGACATGAATTATGAGTACTTGTCGCGAGGACACCAACCATCAAGACGAAGAAGCGACAGGATAGACCCACTTTCACCATACAAAACTAGAGGGAAAGACGGTATATACTAAGAATAAAAGAACCAAAAACCAAAGTGCGGTGCAGGTCCCAAAAGTCTCCGGCATATATACAAGACTGGAAGACACGCAATAAGGGGGAAAAAAATCATACTTACCACTCCAATTTGTGATCACTTTCTCCTAGGAAAATTTTCGGTGTAACTCGTCCAAATTGTGTTGACATCAGTTCACGTAATGTACAGAGGAACAAAACCGAGTTTTAAGCCCAGGAACGACACATAGGCTAAAGGAATGTAACTTTTGGCCAAAGGGGTGAAACTGAGTTTAAACCCAGGTTATTGCCATGACAACCTGTTCTCTTTCACATGTAATCAAATTCAACACCAGGATTCTGCATCCACAAAAAAAAAAAAAAGGAAGAAACCCTTTGAAAACTATGGAACCAAAACACCCAAATAATAGCCATATACTTGAATGTCATAACTGTAAACTGCTACTCTTTTGTAACCTTGGCTTCTGAAAATATATATCGCATAGTATATTCAAACACCCATGTTGTTTATATCTATTAATCAATTGGAGACTCGAAAACCATATCCTGCATCATTTGTGGGGAAAGCATTGTCTAAGGGGCAAACTCGTAAGGATATCTTTTTGAAAATCTAACATAGATGGGAATGATACAAACCTTATCACACACGGGACAGTTTTCACTTCTTTCCATCCATTCCAGAATGCAAGCAAGGTGAAAATGATGATCACATTTTGTGTTGAGTTTTGGATTCTCATCATCGTACTCTGAGGATAAAGAGAATTCATCAGTAACTTCTTAATTATAAGCAAAAGAACGGAGAAATAACATTAAAATGGTCAGGCTGACTAATTCCAACAGAAACAGCTAAAGAAGTTGAATGGAGAAGATGGGACAGCATCACCTTCTAAACAGATAGGACACACATCCTCCTCTTCAGCTAAAATGACAGGTTCATCTAGCTTTTGAAGTTCAATTTCTGAATCCTTAGCTGGGTCCAGTTCTAAATCACTCTGAACTTTACCCTCTAGTTCTTTCTGCTCTTCCAACTTGGTCATATTTCCATGACCATCACTAGTAACTATTTCTTCAGCTGAATTAGAATCTGTAGATTGAATGGATGTATTAGTCTTATTATCACTAATTTCATGAACCCCGGGTGGAGTTTGAGTGACAACCAAAGTAACGTTGCTGTAAGGAGCAGGGGCAGGAGGTGGTCTATAAGTGTCAGGACTTGAAGTTTCAAGGTTAGTATCAACAAGGAGCCCTCGGGAGAAAGCAGACGCAGAACCATGATTAGATGATAGAGGAACACGCTCCTCTGATGCTCTTGGCTGCTGAAGAAAATGCAGTAAATGAAGTCATCCATATGACCGTACGTATTTCATGGATCATATATAACCAATAGGCATTAGAAGAGAAGCAACAGAAAACTACTTATAAGTTCATAATCACAGAAGACTTGATAAGTTCAGAACTTCAGTTATGTAGTGAGAGTCAGAGAGTCTGCGAGAGTTGAATTCATGCTTGCATCAAAGATTTGTCAGACTTGGTTGTTTTGACTTTTGAAAATGAACATCCTTCCTCACATTATCAGACTTCGTTGTAGATGCTCCCAGACCTTCCGTTTTAAAGCACCGCCACAGCATGTATCAAACTGAGCGATACAGGGCAAATTGTTGTGCCCATTTTTTAGCTAGGAATGCAGACAATTAGGTAGGAAGGTGGTCGATGATGAAAGGAACATTTTCTAGACTGTTTCTTAGTCCTTTGTAAGCTTGTTATTTGATTATTGGACCTGTGCTTTATTTTTTTAGGGAAAAAAATTCTAATCCTCATCATTGCATAATTTAAAGGAGATAAACTTTTCTTTTTCCTTACTACAGCAGTTTCAGATGAAGATGAAGCAGTCATAAATTATTATGATTTCTACTGCCTTGGTAAGAATAAACTAAGCATAAAGTCATCAACGTTTTGGAGCAACAAAATATTACCCTTTGAGGGAAAAAAAAAGGAAATAAGGGATGAGTAGAAACAATCGGTATCAAATATGATGTATACTAACATAGAAGTACGCTGGTGGATCGCTCAGTTCGGTTTCTCTTGAACAACAGCAACAGCAACCGCCCATCTTCCCTTAACTGCAGGACACAAAGACAAATTTTAGATTCCGGTGATTGAGTTAAGCTTCATCAGCATTGAAACAGTCAAAATTGAGCCATACACAGATGCTAAAACGAATACGATCCTCATGTACCAATGATCATGCCAGGACGTTGTCACCTATATTCCGTCTCTCTCCTGCTCACATGAAAGAGTAATCATCCGTCCAACCGACCAAAAAACACCCCCAATTCATCAGGACTAATATCGAGGAATGCTCAACAAATGGTTTCCTCGCAGCAAGCAATCCAAAAGAGGAAGAAAAGAACTAACGGGTTCATGAGATAAAAGCGATGACACGGCAGAAACGCACAGAGCAGAGTAAAATTCGATAGAATTTTGATCCGGGAAAGAAATAATTTGCAATTAAAAAGAAAAACCAATATAGGAGACAAATTAAGTTTACACAAATGCATTCAAATACAACACCAGCAACCATCAATCATCAACTAAGCGACCAAAAAGAAAAATAAAAACCAACAACAGCAGATACGAAACAGCATAGATACTATTTATATTCAATTAGAAAAAGAGCAAAAGAACAAAGATAAAGAGAAAGAGAAAGTAAGAAATACGTAAGTTGCAAAACCTAGCTAAGCAGAAGTAGCGAGGCCAATAAGTAAGATAAGAGGAAGACATGAAAGCAAAAGGCAACCGATCATTTCAAATTAGGAATATTCTGCGAGGAAAGAATGGATTGACAGGTGATTTCCTTACCTTGAGACAGAGAAATTACAGGATTCATGAAAGAACTGAATCGAATTGAAGGAGAAAGTTCGTTTGAGTAAGTTGCTTGGACGCAATAGGAAGGGAAGACCAACGGAGCGGGGTTTTGGATCTTTATTTATATGATACTCCTGAGAGTGCGAGCTACGTGTACTAAAGCCACTCCCAAAACTACTTTTCTACCTCCAGCATCTTCGATCACTCAGATCTCAGCCGTTCAATTCCCACGGACCCCACTTCTCGTCGGTCCCACCATCAGATAGGCGTTTCATATTTATCTGAATTATCTACGGAGTGCGCCCCATGTTTTCTCTATGGATTTTTATTTTTATTTTAATTTGCCTGACGTGTTTGATGGAAATCAGACTCCACTTACCATTGGAGATATTTACAAACTAAAGTTCTAAAATTACCTTCAGACAAAACAGAAAGTTGAAATCATGTAAAGAAAACTAAAATCTAAAATTGAGATTGCTTTTTTTTTTTTTCAATTTTTGGCCATCGGATTGTTTATTGCATTTTGTCTATTAAAATAATTTGAGACTTAATAGCATTAGATATAAAATTAGATTTGATCACTATAGTTCTGAGAGATACGCACGAAACACGCAACGAGATTCCCGATTGTTCAACCAAACTTGACCTAGGTAACCCATATCTTTTTCTTAACTTTTTTAAATTTTGAGACTAAATTAAAAGATTATTTTTTTTTAGAAGAATAACTAGACAAAAAATAAATAATTAACAAGGAAGAGACAAAATAAAATCTAAAAACGAAAGGAGAGAGAATGGCGGCGCCACAGGAACGCAGCCGGGTAGATAGATATAAAACACTAGGCAATATCATATGAACTAGGGAATCAACCCGATATTACAAAGGTCAGATTTGGTGTTGAAGGCTGACTCAGACCAGCCAGCCCGCCTACCAATCTCTGTGGAGTTTGAAATTAGTAACTAAGGTCTAAGGTTAGAGCTAATATATGTATATCATATTAATTAATTACAATCGCAAGTCATCGTCCAGAGTTGGAACTCAGCAGGTGGTGGGTGATCAACATTCCACAGTCTTGGGCCTCTTGGCTCCGCGAAGCAACTCTTTGATTACTGGTACCTCGTCCACTTTAAGCTGTGTACAAAAAGTAGCATCTCAAATCAGAGAAAAAGCAAAATCATAAAAGGGTTTTTTAACTGTGAGGGAGGTAGGAGTAAGACCAACCTGCAAAGCAAAATGACGCTGCACGGCTTTTACCATTTGTTCCCTGGATGGACTCGAATTACTGCTCAACTGCGATTTGAGAGATAAAGCCATGCTTCAAACATTACTGATACACATTTAAAAAGTGAGAATCCAATAAAAGGAGACTTACAAGTTTAAAATGCCTGCAGTATCTCCACAATGACTCTGTTCCCATATTTGCCAAGTTCACCCTCTGCATAAGGAAACTCAGCGTCAAATAGCATGCAGAGAGGCGTTTAGGTCTTGAAGACTGCTATAAACGGAATGCAGCAACTTCATATGAAGAGGGAAGACTAATATGAATCATGTGAAGGTTCCTTCAGTTATGTAGATTCAATTATGCAGAAGTACTCGTCATGTTTCTTACAGGGTGAGGAGCAAGAATAGAGTGGACTTCTCTGTAACTTGCACGATTGCTTGGCTTCGCAGATATAGAATGCACAATAAGGCTTCGTGTGTCTAACTCTTGGCTTGCTGGGCTTGTGAAACTCAATACTAGTAGCTGTTCAAAGGGAAAACAATGTTGATTTTAACAAGCAGTAAAATTGAAACGGACTGTTGCTGAGACGTTACAAAGAGTTGGTCAGATAAAATGGAGGGGGGGCTTACAGAAATCGTTGTCCTTTTCATGGATTTCGGATCCACTGCTGGAGTTGTCGTAATCAAGATCATCTTCTTCGTTTCCGGTAGGGTGTTCTAGCACGCTCAATGCATTCCTTTGCAGCTTAACCTCAACCCCATTTTTCAAGACCTTGCATGTCAAAGCCAGAAAGAAATTAAGAGCTTTGCAGATGAATGAAGCCAGAAAATCAGGGATAAATTATAGTGTATCAAATTTAAGATGCTACAGTTTTCTTAGACGTAACTTACCTTCGCTAAACTTCTTGTACTGTGTGTTAAACTTCTGTTTAGAAGATTTAGCGGTGGACAGCAATTGATTTCCACATTACAAGTCACAACACATAACATGGAACAAAACGAGTAAAGATGAAAATTTCTGCTCTCATATTTCCTTCGTAATTACACAAGTAGAAGTTAGAAGTATAATTAGAAGGGCAGTAAAAATATATACCAGCCAGTGCCAACCTCCGAGACCAACAGCTTTCTTGACGACGCCTTGCAGTCCAACTAGTACAGACTTGGTTCTATTGTTGCCAGTGACTATAACTTTAGTGTGCCTAGGAAGAACCGAAAGTTCTTCGTCTCCACTTTCCTCGCGGAAGGGTGATAATACTCGGGAAGAGCATAAGTCAGGCTCCAGCATTCTTACCGTTTTATCCAAGTCCGCAGTTTAAATTACAACGTCGAGATTTCAAACATAGAACCTGAATGCCAGTCTCGTCCAAACTCAAAGACCGCTCAAATTTTTGGATTTCAGACGGGGTAATGATTGCTAATCAGCTGGTAGTACGGAAGGATATGACTAATCAATATAATAATATTCCTTCATAAATTGCCTTTCACAAAAGCTTCATTCTTGCTCAACCGGACTTGCATGCAATTGAAACCTACTGTGATTCCAGCACCAATCGTTCGGCGAGATCAAGTCCCTAAATCCATAGAAATGAACAGAGATAGAAAGAGGAAGTTAATTTAGCAATCAACCAACGAAAAGAAGAAAAATATATAAAGTGATTAGGAGAGGGAGGGGAAGAGAGAGAGAGGAGAGAGAACAGTTTCGCGATATAGATTTTTTGAAAAAGATGAATACTGTTTTGGTGCTCAGAATTAGGGAAGTGTTAAATGCGAAAGGTATCCAAGGAAGATACACCCCAATCTCGCTCACGGACTCAGATCCGCGACAATGAATGCAGCAATGTTGGGGTTCATATCAAAAAAATAGACTAATCCTTACAAGTAGTTAAATTTCACAGATTAACAAAGTAGGACATGGAAATAATTATCGAGTTGTGAGTACGATTCCTGCAAACAAGAAGTAATCAAAATTTTATTCATTTTTTTCCTTCAGAAAAGTCGCATGACGTATCCAAAATTAGAATTTATAATCCCACGCATACAATAAAAGATACGCAATCACAAATAAAAATTCATCAAAACAGAAAAGGAGGCTTCTTCTATTTTCTTCCCGCGATCAATATAACCTGAAAGTTCTCGGCTTTCTTCGAAAATGCAGGAAAGCTGGGAAAAGAATTTGAAATTCGAATTCGAAAGCTTCCGATAAGTGAATGCAGCGAGCGAGACGCACACACATAAGTTGAGGTGAAGTAGCAGCAGGTTATTGTAAACGTGATGCAGTTGATTATTATTATCCAGTAAAGGAAACAAGCACAAGATGAAAGAAAGAAGGAAAAGCCATTAAACTGAACCAAGAAGTATCTTTAATCTTTAATATTGAAAAGCTCGGAAGAAAATTGAAAGTGTGATTAAGATCAAGTGTGAGTGAGAAGCAAGCATAGCAGAATTAAGATTAGAAAAAGGAAATTTGAATTGGAGAAAGAAAATGAGAAGAAAAAGCGAAAGAGGGTGAAGAAGAACGTACCGGTAAGGAAAGAGAGAGGTGGATTTCAATCGGAAAAGGAGGAAAATGATCAGGAAATCTGGAAATGGATGCGAGGAATAAGAATGAGTTGAATTATAGAACGAAGGAGTGTAGAGAGTTAGAGTGATTAATATTATTTTATTACTATTGCGTTGATTGAGAGAGAGGGGGGAGAGAGAGAGAGAAGAGGAGGAGGAGGAGGACACACTATAAATGCGTACCAACTGCCATGGGAACGACCTGCCATGTGCCGTACGGTCACTACTTTATGACCGGTTGAGCCGGTACCACCCCGGTGATTGGAGTGTTGGAATGCAGCGCTAAACGGCTCGGCTTAGCGGGTTAACGGCGCGGGGGGTTTTGTCGTTCGTGGGAGCGCATGCTTTGCACGGAACAAAGGCGCACGCATGCTATTACTCAGTCCTGGGAAAAATATGAAATCGTGCCCATCCTTATCCATTTTGCATCCTCTTTCCAGCAAAATTTCAAATTATGATACTAGTGTATTATACTTACAGTTGAGCTTGTACTATTTTCCGTTCTGGCTGTCAGATGTTGCAGAGATTTTCTTTTTACAAAAGCAAATCAAACACCATGCATGAAAAAATTTGAAATTTGTTCATTGGATCTCTTTCCACGAATGAAAAAATTAATTGTACTAATATACCCTTTTTAATCTTGACTACCTTTGAGTTGAAACTCCCTTAATATATGTAATCAATAAAAATACTTTAAAAAAAATATTATAAACTTAGGAGAAAAATAAATTAAGATAATATAATATCAAACCAGCTCTTATATAAATATTAAAACCCATTGTGGCCCGCAAATTAGACTAAACAATTGCTTAAATATTTGATAATAAGATTCAGAAAATACATCAAATAATAATAAGAAGAAGAAGAAGAAATGTAGTGAGTGTGTGTGTTACATGTAAATACACTTGGCTGACCTAAATTTGGAGCAGTCCAACTCAAAACAAAAATGGAAGCAACGTGACGGGTTTCATGAAAGCCCGCTTAAATTTGTAGACCACAAAAATTATTTTATTTTTTGACATCCGAGTCTCTTGGGAAAAATTTTTACCTGCAAAATATTTTGAATAGAATTACTTTAAAAATATGAAATCGTGCCCATCCTTATCCATTTTGCATCCTCTTTCCAGCAAAATTTCAAATTATGATACTAGTGTATTATACTTGCAGTTGAGCTTGTACTATTTTCCGTTCTGGCTGTCAGATGTTGCAGAGATTTTCTTTTACAAAAGCAAATCAAACACCATGCATGAAAAAATTTGAAATTTGTTCATTGGATCTCTTTCCACGAATGAAAAAATTAATTGTACTAAATATCCTTTTTAATCGTGACTATCTTTGAGTTGAAACTCCCTTAATATATGTAATCAATAAGAATACTTTAAAAAAAAATATTATAAACTTAGGAGATAAATAAATTAAGATAATATAATATCAAACCAGCTCTTATATTAAAGATCAAAACCCATTGTGGCCCGCAAATTAGACTAAACAATTGCTTAAATATTTGATAATAAGATTCAGAAAATACATCATAATAATAATAATAAGAAGAAGAAGAAGAAATGTAGTGAGTGTGTGTGTTACATGTAAATACACTTGGCTGACCTAAATTTGGAGCAGTCCAACTCAAAACAAAAATGGAAGCAACGTGACGGGTTTCATGAAAGCCCGCTTAAATTTGTAGACCACAAAAATTAATTTTATTTTGACATCCGAGTCTCTTGGAAAAAATTTTTACCTGCAAAATATTTTGAATAGAATTACTTTTACTAATAATAATAATAGGTGGAGCTGTAGAAGGGTAATGCGTGAAAGTCGCTAAAAACATGAACATGACAGTAGGATAATGATTGGTATAAGTATATTCCTCCAATGCAGGAAAATGGAGGAAGTAGTGCACAAGTCATGACTATAACCGTCATTTCAACGCCTCATTTTATACTGAGAAAATGACCAAAAAAATTAAAAATTACTAAATACCAAATAAAAAATATCAACAAAAAATTATTATTATTTGTAAATTCTTTCAACACCAAATAAATAAAGTAATGTTATTAAATCTGATTTAAGATTTAATAATTTCTAATTTTTGTTTTGTCATTTTCCCTTCGATGTTCACACTGTATTGGAGCCTTTAATTTGGCTCGGCGAGGCTGAGATGAAGAGCACCCTTTCAAGGCATTATGGATGATTATAGGCTGCCACTTAATTGTGATTGGCAACTCTTTTTTACAATTTTTTGTAAATTGAGTTTATAAGCGGCACAAAATCTCTTTTTTACAATTTTTTAAAACTGAGTTTATTAAAAAGAAATTTCCTTCCCTCCCCTTGAACACATCATAGCCACTGGTTTTTATAGTTCCTTTTTAGCTTCTTACCCATACGAAAACAAAACTCCATATTTCTCGCATGGTACCCAGATAGTGAATGAATGATTCATACATGTGTATACATGTTCACAGCTCATAAAAGCCCATATATATTGTCGAGCCCCCAGCCTTACTTCCGTTTAGTTATTTAAAAATTTAAATTACGATAATGTGCTTTATTTGGATGAAAAATTTGTATAAAAATATTCTAGACCTATAATTCCTTTTATGGGTGTAATTCAGGATATTCTCATAAGTCATTTCGAATTTTGGACTAATTATTGTCAGCTTGTAAGTTTTTAAAGTTAAAATTCTTCCCAAATATATTTTTCGAGATGTGAACTTGGATTATATTTTTTATTGAGACGATGATAACTTAATGTCTTAAATAATAACTTGCCGGTCAAGACCTATAATTCTCTAACATGCTTGTTGTGACCAGCATTTGTCAAGGAAAATGTCGGCATTATTACTTAATAATTTATATTATTATTTTATTACGGGCATATACTCACTTAGTCATCGTCAATTAAGACTCATTAACTACTTTTTTGTCGGGACCTATTGAACACTTTAGATCTATTAAGAAAATGAGACAGTTAAAAGCAATCAAGTGCAAAAAATACCATAATTTCGCAAAATTACCCATAATCAAGCTAGGTGAGTGATAGGATAGATGATTAAAAACGCGGTGGTAAAGAATTTTTGAGAATGATGTATAGGAACTAGTCAAGGAGTTAGTTTTGATACTTTACTTTATTTATTACGCTTATATTTTTTTAAATTAATTTAACTAATTTATAAACTGATATGTAATATATTATTACATGGAGAGGATTATTCATATTTAGTTTTTTAAATATACCAAAATGAATCAAGTAACTGTTCCATTAATAATAGGAGAAATATTTTGTTAACTTTTGTAAATGGCCGAACATTATGGATTATTCTAAGAATATCTCTTATAAACATTATGGGAAGGGGTAATATTCACGAATATAATATTTGTAGATAATAATAAACAATGTTAATATATTTTTTTGTCCTTGAAATTTGAGTTTATTTTTGTTTTAATTTCTCAAATTTCAAATCTATAGTATTAGTTTTTGAAATTTGGTTCATTTTAAAATGTTAGTCCTTGAAAGATTAACAGTGTTAAAATCTACTAAAGTATCATAGATAATGTTAAAATAAGAATGTAAATTCACTATATGGCACATAGCTAGATTTTGTGAGGTTAATAGAATGGGGAAAAAAAAGAACACGTCCTCAAAATACAGCTCTTTAGCTTCCTATTTTTTCTTCCCCGCTATTCATTTTCAAGAGCTGTTTACTGAGCTGCACTCTATTATCCACATAAGATCCAGTTAGGTTTCATATGATGAATTCACCACTTTTAACTTCACTGATGACATTTCAACTGATCTTAACATCATTACACTTTCAGGGACTAACATTTTAAGACAGACTAAATTTTAAGGATTAAAATCACAAGTTTAAAATTTGAGAGACCAAAACTAAAACAAACTCAAATTTCAGAGATAAAAAATTATATTAACCTTAAGAAACAGCTTACTTATGAATTATCAATAATGTAAGGATCTATAATTGAGGTTAAGATATATTTGGATTAGTTTTTTTAAAGTAATTTTACGATACATAGAATAAATATGCAGAAGAAATTTGTTCTATAAAAACACTTTCTTAAGCCTGATTTTACTTTTATTTTTTAAATATAGACAGAAGAGCTATGACAAGATAAAACAAGGCGGGAGAGCCGACGAAATAAGTGCGCCGGTTTGGGGCGCTGAGCCATGCGAGAAACCACGTGTCACCCGCGAGAGAAATAGGAAACTGCTTAAGTTTCATAAATATATCACATGCAACTAAAAAATAAAAAACTGAGTTCATTTTAAGATATACTCCTCCTCTAGTAATTATAATAAGATAAAAATAATAATTATAAAATAAATCTTAAGAGTTATTATTTTTTTACTCTAAAACTTGTAATTCAGACTGTTTAGATTATTATTGAGATTTTTTAGTAATTATTTTTCTTTTCTGAGACCTCATTGTAATTTGCTCTTTTATTTATGAGTCACTTTTAACGTGTTTTATATAAGTCAAAAAAAAATTTCTCTCGCTATCCTATAAATAGAACAAAAAAATATCTTCTCTCTGTCTTATTATAGAATCAGGAAAAATTATTTTCAGTTTTTAATATAAAAGCAAAACCTAGTTGATTAATTTGAAGAAGCTAAGAAAGCTACTAAATTATTTTAAAATATTTATATTTATTATTTTTTCTAAACTAATATGACTCACTTACTATAAATTGATATATAATCTAATGATATATATAAATATTTTAGAGATATTATGTAACATGTGTTATAATTAAGTAAATACTAGTAAATAACTTTCTTAATCTCTTCGGATTACAAGATGGAGGATTACAGATGCATGCTTAAGCAAATTTTAAGGACATCCGAGAAATAAATTATGGAATAAGAAAATTTTCAGTAAATTTCACAAATTTGAATTGTTTTTTCTTGGATTATTAACACTTGGCCCATACTAACTTTTTCGTAATCTTGCTCTTACATAGTTTTTTTTTTTTTTTTAACGTGGCTTGCTCTTGCGTAGTTACGCATGACGAATCTTGTGAGAATTTTCTCACGAAAAGGTTAAATACTTAAATTATACTAGTAATTATTAAACTAAAATTCGGGCATCATAATAAAAATATTAGTACTATAATCCTGCTTGAAAT